ACACAGTCTCTCTCCCGCTCTGGATCTAAAGTCTCCAGCTGCTCCATCTCTCCACATCATCATCTCTGCGTCCATCTCTGGCATAACTGCTTCTCTGGGTAGGGTCCCACTCTCCGCTCTTCTCCCTTGATGGTCCCAGGGACCTCCGCTCCTAGACTACAAAGTTAGTCACTCCCCTCCTTGCTACAAAACGTCTACCTTTACATTTCCAACCCTCACAATCAGTCCTGATAACAATTATTCACTATTGTACCTCAAGAGCCTATCTGCATTTCCTTTCATCAGCCCTACTCAGACAGACTGGATTCTACCTTCTTCCATGTCCTCTGGATCTAGGTTCCCACTTGAAAGCTTGTAAGCCAGTCACTTCTTGCCTTTGTAGCCCCCCATTTTGGGTAGCCAATGTCCAAGTTGCCCATCCCTGTCTACTCTGTGTATGGAGGGGGTGGGAATGATCCTTGCTGTAAATATTTGTTTCTTCTTTTGAGCTACTGCATCCATAGGTGTAGGTCAAGTTCATCAAACTGTATCAGATTACTCTTTTCTTCCTCTTCTTTGTTCTTCTAATTGAGTTCTGATCATCCAGTCATTGAAGCCAGGTGGAGTGGGTACAAAATAATAAAAGATAATCTGAAAGTGTGAATGTTCTTATGCATATGCCCTCTCATCTTATCAGCTAGACGCTTCACTCTCTACTCTAGTCCTCTGTGGCTATGTCACTGACTCTGGGCCCAAGAGTCCCCAGGTCTTGCCACACTGCTGGGCAACCAGGTGTCCACCCAGGTTCACAGGAGTCTATTGAACATTGTAAGGCTTAATTCACAGTTCATTGCTATTGCTTTTCCCTCATTCCCCTTTTCGGTGATGAACGTGGTGGTCACCAATCAGAGCACGTATTCCCATTGAGTCTTAGTCTTGGAAGGGGGTTTGCTCTGAGGGGAACGGACCACTTGCCTTGATGTCTTCTGGGCGAGCAACTTGCTTGTTCTTGTAGTAATCTGTCGGTCTGCCTATATTGTTTTGTAGTTTTCCTATCGATCTTTCTTTCAAGAAGTATCTTCTGTTCTTCTTGCCGCTCCAGGCTAGTCTGCCCGTCCTTTCAAGTACAAATTGCCCACCTCTGAAAATTCTGGATGCTGTTCAGGATTCCACCTTTAGTCTTATGTAATGCAGAGGCTCCGCAGGAAGCCTTCTTCACTGGGCACTTTGTAGCCCCATTTTAGGTATTCCGGGATAACCGTTTTTGCATGGTTGTTGTTGTTAAGTGCTGTTGAGTTGGTTCTGACCCATAGCGATCCTGTATAGGGTTTCCGAAGACCTGCTGTTGAGCTTGAACCACTGACCTTGAGGTTCAAACCAACTTTGCAGTCCAGTGCATTAACCCACAGAGCCATACCAGGACCACGCTGTTGCAAGGAGGGGTTTGTAAATATGGAGATGAAACAAATGTATGATTTGCTGAATGTAAAGCTGATGATCTTGTCTGTAAGCCTTTACTCAATTCACAATAAAAAGTTTAAAAAGATTACAACAACAAATTTGTAGATCACAAAAATACTGCCTGACATAGGCTGGAAGATGAGATGCCCTTGGTTGGAAGGCACACATAAAAATGTTTATTGGTTGTAACAATAAACTCAAGCATACTAATGATGTGAAGATGGTGTAAACCAACAAACCACTGCTGTCAAGTTAGCAGTCCAGAATGTTCAGTCACCTGCTTACACTGTTACAGAATGAAAAATAAAATTCTAATTTCTTTCAGCTATATCTTATTGGGTCTATTTGTTGCAGTGCTTAGCTTAACTAATATAGAAGTTACTGGAAGGGGGAGCACAAAAGCAAAGCCCTAAAATATGCAGCATGGAGCACTGGCTTAGAGTGTGTGGCAGGGATCATTGAACACAGAGCAGGCTGAGAAGCTCTTGGGGCTCATGGGCCTTGTAAGTAAGAGCAAAGCACCCCATAAATCTGTTTCCAGTGACAACTTGAAGGCAGACAGTGTGCCTACCAAACCAACAACTCTGGGGAGACTTAGAGGGTCCCTGTGTTTGGTTATTTGCTCCTTGCTGCTTTTAGCAGACATTATCAGAAAACAGTGAAACAAGAAGAAACTGGCATGTTTGCAAGTAAATGAAATGAAATGGAGAGTATGGGAATTAAAGGCCTTACAAAGATGGGACACTCCAAGGAAAGATATAGGGCTTTGAAAGACAACAACAACAACAATAGATGCTGTCAAGTTGACCCAACTGACACTGTCCCAATGTGTATCAGAGAAAAGCTGTGCTCTGTGGGGTTTTCAACAGTTGATTTTTCTTTTCTTTTATAAAGTAGATTCCCAGACCTTTCTTCGGATATGCTTCTGAGTGGACTCAGATCTCCAACCTTTGGGCTGGCAGTCTAGTGCTTAACCATTTACACTACCCAGGGACTCCTTAAACAAAGCCCTCGCATTAAGCCAGAACACGGACCCAACTTTGATGCAAACATCGGGTTACAGGTGTTGCTGGGCCCCAATCTCATTGTTTTACAGAACCTCAAAGCACCTACCCTTGGGTTGAGATTGCTGGGCCTGGGAGTGAGGCTCTACACAGAGGCAGCCTGAGGCTCCCATTCAGGAAAACATTTGGATATGGTTACTGACAAATTCCATGGAGGGACTGGAAGCAAATAGATCCAAAGTTTGAAAGGATTTTGATGGGATCCTATTATAAAAGGAGAATGAGCCTGGCCTAAAATAGCCTTTAGAACCCCAACCAGTTATTACCAGGAAGCAGGTGGTGGAAGCAGTTTATCCCCAAGGAGAACACAGTTCTTACTCTGTCTCCCCTGTGAGCAGAATCAGGGTTTCATGGAGGAAGCTCCTACTCTGCCAGGGGAGAGGCCTTCCCAGTACTGCCTGGCAGGATTCCATCACTGCTGTAAAGCAGGGACTATCTCTTTCAGAGCAGGAGTTACTATTGCAGTGCCCCTGTCCCTCTCTAACTCTGTGTGTGTGTGTACGTCACAAGAAGCTGTTCTGATCAAAACTCAAACTCATCAAACAGACCAGGCCTTACTGGCTGGACAGAGGCTGGTGGAATCCCTGAGTCTGTGGTCCTTCATCACCTTCCAGGTCTGAAACTGCACTCACTCCCCATAGCTAAATTTTCAGCCAGATCTAAAATGAGGTATACACACCTAAGAATCATCCATTATTTGTGATCAAAAGAGCAGCATTTACCCATGGGTTAGGAAAGCAGGAAGAATGGAAATGGGAAACAAAGGGAGGAAGTGGGAAAAGCGATAGTCCATTGTGGGGACTGCAATTATTAAGATGAAACAAAATGAGTATGAATTGTTGAACAGAAGACAGATCTGCTCTGTAAACTTTCACACAATTCACAATACAAAGGTCAAAAATGAAGAAAAAGCCATTTTTAGACCCGAAAGAGATGACCTTGGGATAGATGCAGTGACTATCTGGGTCTCTAGTTCACTCTCTGGGGACCGGGGCTAAGGGTGTGTGAGTGAAAGGAGGGAGGGTACACACAGAGGGGTAGACAGTAGCAGAACCTGACAGTTTCCTACTAGAATTCACTGCCTCCACCTCCAGCCACACACTCGTGTTTTTGAACCACTGACTGAAAGGTTAGCAGCCCAGATTGGTTAGCTACCTGCCTAGAATGTTACAGAATGAGAAATAAATTTCCATTTTCTTTCAGTTACTACCTATTGGAGCGATTTGTTGCAGTGTTTATCCTAGGCTAACCAATATAGAAGATACTGGAAGGGGGAGCACAAAAGCAAAGCCCTAAAATATAGAGCACAGAGCACTGGTTTAGCGAGCGTGTGGCAGGAATCAGTGAACGCAGAGCAGGCTGAGAAGCCTGTGGGGCTCAAGGGTCTCGTAAGCAAGAGCAAAGCACCCCATACACTTGTTTGCAGTGACAACGTGGAAGGCATACAGCGTGCCTACTGCGCCAACAGTTTTGAGGAGTCTAAGTGGGTCCGTGTATTACATTTTCCAGCTTCCCTGAAGTCAGCTGGGCCCATAAGATACTTTTGCTACTGGAATGTGAGTAAGGAGACAAGTGGCACTTCCAGACCTTTGCAAAATCAGTGGGCCTCCTTGTTACTCTCTGCCGAATGGAAACTGAACAAGTGACCTGTCTTCGAACAGGCAGAGGACAATACAATACAGAAGGGGATGCATCACCATTGGCTTTCAGTTCTGTTTGTTATAGCAGGTTAGCCCACCCTAGCTCCTCAGATGAGGCACTGGTGGGTTGGTGGTAGAATTCTCGCCTTGTATGCAGGAGACCCAGGTTTGATTTCCAGACAGTGTTGGTGTAATCAGGTGCGGCTACCACCTGTCTGCCAGTGGAGGCGTGTGTGTTGCTATGATGCTGAACAGCTTTCAAAGAAGCTTCCAGACTAAGAGAGACTAGGAAGAAAAACCTGTTATCTAGTTCCAAAAATTAGACAATGAAAACTCTATGGATCACAAAGGTCTGATATGTATCTGATCATGGGATGAAGCAGAATCAGGGAGTGTCTCATTCCACTTACATGAGGTCACCATGAATTCAGGAACACCTCACTGGCAGCCAACAATGTCAATAACAACTAATATTAAATTACAATATCTAAGAGAATAATAACAAACTACTGGAAACAACCTAAATGTCCAACTGTCTGGGATGAGTTAAATAAATACTGGTAGATTCATGTAATTTAACAGTGTTTCATAAAAAAAAAAATGCTTATGAAATAAAACACTTCTTTCTTTTTTTAAAAAAATGCTACTAAGTGAGAAAATAGATTCTGGAAGGGAGGGTGTTTTATATGTCATTGTATTTAAAAAAAAAAAAAAGCAAGCAGAGAGAAAATAAATTTAAACTATATATGGAGACGCATGTGTACATGTGCATATGTGTGAACGGGGAGGGAGAGAGAGAAGATGGAAGGCGGAAAAAATTGCTGGCATTCAAACATTCAAAGTGTCTTTACCTTACCTTGCATCACCCAAAGTTCCTGTTTTCCTCAAATTCATCAAATGGATGCTCTGCTTTTTGACATTCAGAATCTGGTTGAGGCAGCAGAAGTTCAAACTCTAAAAGCCCAAAATTTAGAAAATTATTACTTTTCAGTATATTAAGGTCCACTGTCGTTAAGTGCCGTCGAGTCAGTTCTGACTCATAGAGACCCTATGTAGGGTTTTCAAGAAGCGGCTGGTGGGTTTGAACCACCAACTTTGCAGTTAGCAGTTCAGTACTTATCCTATAGCACTACACCAGGACTCCTAAAATCCATTGTTGTTGTTGTTAAGTGTCATCGAGTTGATTCCGACCCATAGCAACCCTGTATAAGGTTTCTGAGGAGGAGCTGGTGAGCTTGAACCACCGACCTTGCAGTACAAATGGCTTTGCAGTCTGGCACATTGACCCACAGTGCCACACCAGGACTCCCCATTAGTGTGTTGCTAAATATAAGAGTATTCATGTTACAGCTTTTTTTCAGGGATATTTCTTAGAAATAATTTATCCCCTCTTTTAATGCATAAAAGAATCCTGGTGGTGCGGTGGGTTAAGCATTGGACTGCTAATCATGAGGTGTTTCAAACCCAGCAGCCACTGGGGTTTGATGAGAACTCTAAGGAGCGGGTCTACTCTATCCACAGGGTATCTATTTTTGTTTTTGTTTTTAATGCATTACATTAAATTCTCTTGGTCTCTCTCTCTCTAACTCGGTGTGTACAATGTGGTCCTCACAAGCCACATGTAGCTATTTAAATTTACTAAAATTATACTAAATTTAAAATGTGGGTCCTCAGTCACACTAGCCAAGTTTGCAAATCTCCATGGCTACATGTGACTGGTGGCACAGACAGGACACGTCCATCTTCACAGGAAGTCCTACTGGGCAGCACTGCTCTGTCCTGTTCAGGTCAGGCGGAACTTTGCCACAGGGCACAATTCAAACCCAGCTCAGCATCACTACAACTGCTACCCCTGAGGCCACCGGGGGTCACCCCTCCTCTGTTTCCTGATCACACATCAAGGTAGGTTTGCCTAGCTCACGTCTGAATCATTCCATGTGATCAGCACACGGGCAGGCTCATGTAAGGAAAGCACTGAAGGGAAGATTTGAGAGTTTCTAGGCTTAAAGTCTTGAGCTTAGTCCCTGCAACCAAAAACCAAAACCCAGCAACTCGATTCTGACTCACAGGGACCCTATAGAACAATGTAGAAGTGCTCCATAAGGTTTCTGAGACTATAAATCCTTACGGGAACAGACAGTCTCATCTTTACTCCTCAGAGTGGGTGATTCTGAACAGCTTTAACAACCTAACACTTAACCAGGGCTCCTTAGGAGCACCAGATGGCTGACTTGTGGTAAGGGCTGACCTGGGTGGCCAGCAGGGAGGTCAGCCTTTATCCCGAGGTGTCCCCTTGTCACCCTCAGCCTTCTCAACACTGGGAGAGTGAACTGGTTCTCACCCACTGCTGGGAGAAGGTTAACTAGCATAACCAACGTTGGCATCAAATGAGTTGACTATCTACTGACCTTGTGACCAGCCAGCAATTTCTGTCTAATGAATTCGCTCAAAAGAGCTTCTGGTCCTATACAAGCTGACTCACAGCAGCAGTCCAGTGACAGCAGGCAACCTGAATGTCAGTCAAAGGGGCGTTATACCAAGTCAAGACACTTTAAACGACCTTAAAGTGAATTGCGGCAGGATAAGTAATATTCAAGTGTTCAAGAGCAATGAGGTCACGTTGAGGACTAAGGTGCACCTGACCCAAGCCATGGCATTTTCCATTGCCTCATATGCATGCAAAAGCTGGACAATGAATAAGAAAGACCAAAGAAGAACTGATGCCTTTCTTAGGATTATAGTGTTGGTGAAGAATATTAAATATGCTGTGGACTGCCAGAACACACAGATCTGTTTTGGAAGAAGTGTGGCCAGAGTGTTCCTTGGAAGCCAGTGTGGTGAGACTTCCATCTCTCTTACTTTGGACATGGATCATGAGGGGCCAGTCCCTAGAAAAAGATGTCATGCTTCATAAAGTAGAAGGTTAGCCAAAAAAAAAAAAAAAAGAGGACTACTCCTAAGGAGAGAGACAGACACAGTGTCAGTAACAATGGGCTCAAGCATAACAATTGTGAGGATGAGGTAGGACCAGGAGTAATTCATTCTGTTCTTCAGGAAGTCACGATGAGTGGAAGTCAAACTCGACTTCACAGCATCTAATAACAACTGAGATTATACTGTGGATACTATAATCAATTACATGAAATGAACAATGTAAGAATTACTGAATGGAAACTGATTTGCTCTATAAATCTATACCCAATTCATAATTTTTTTTTTTTAATTTTAAAAATAAAGTGAATTAGGGCATAAGCAGCTTGCCTGGCCTGTTGCTATTGTTGTTAAATACTGTCAAGTCGGTTCCAACACACAGTGACCCTGAATAGGGTTTCTGAGGAGCAGGTGGTGGGTTTGAACTGCCGACCTTGTGGTTCACAGTCCAGTGCTGATCCTGAAGTGTCACATCAGGAATCCTAAGGTCAAAGAATTCACCTTAGGGCCATTGGTGATAATCATGTCATTCTAGGAAAATCAACCGAAGTCTAAAATCCTTCCCAATTCCAGAGCTCCTCACACAAATTGATCTGAACCTCCCTTAGCTACTTCTTCGTCCACAATACACCTTAGAACTGACTCCCTTCTACCTTTCTGGACTGATCCTCTCCCCAAAGCCCCCAGCTCCGTGCTATCCTTGGCACTCCTAAATGTCTCTGTGAAGTTTTCCAAAACCCCAGAGTCATTCTTTGGGATCCCTCCTCTCAAGTCCTGAAGACAGGAAGTCAGATATTCCTTGGTATCCTCAAGTGAAAAACAGGGAATTTTAAATGCTGAAGACTTTACATATGTTAATCCAGTTTAATATTCACACCAGCTCAAGAAAAATGGATGCTACCCTTTAATCTTCTCTCTACAGAAAAGGAAACTGAGCTTCACAGTAGTTCAGGAACTTCTCTGAGATCACACTGTTTTGCTGAGTCTAGGCTGAAGAAATGGAGTAAAAGTATTTCATTCCTAAAAGCCAAGATTTGAAAACTCAGCACAAATATACCAAAAGCTCAAACCAGTACCCAATGAATTGATACTGACGCATGGTAACCCCATGTGTGTCAGAGCAGAATTGCTCCACAAGCCATGGTATTTTCAATGACCTCATATACATGTGAAAGTTGGACAATGAATAAAGAAGACCAGAGATGAATTGGTGCATTTGAATTATGGTATGGCTGAAGAATATTGAAAGTACAATAGACTGCCAGAACAAACAAAGGTATATTTAAAGAAGTACAGCAGGACACTCCCTAGAAGACCTCTCTCACAACTTTAGACATGTTATCAGGAGGGACCAGTCCCTAGAGAAGGATAACATGCTTGGTAAGGCACAGGGTCAGTGAAAAAGAGGCAGACCCTCAATGAGATAAATGACACAGTGGCTGCTCAAACAGCAGCAACTGTGAGGCTAGGGCACGGCCAATCAGTGTTTTGTTCTGTTGTACAAGCCAAGTGTCACTGAGTGGGTTTCAACTTATAGACACTCTGTATAGGGCTTCTGAGTTTTGTAAATCTTTGCAGGAACAGAAAGCCTCATCATTCTATTGTGGAGCAACTCTTGTGACTTACAGTCCAGTGTTTATCCTACAGAGCCACACATTGTTGTTATGTGCCGTGGAGTTGGTTCCGACTCATAGCGACCTTGTACAGGGTTTCCGAGGCTGTAAATCTTTCCAGGAGCAGAAAGCCTCATCTTTCTCTCATGGAACAGCTGGTAGTTTCGAACTGCTAACCGTGAGATTAGCAACCCGATTAGAGTTGCTACCATTCAGAACCAACTGGATAGCACCAATCAACAACAATATAACCTTTTAGAAGGCCAGGCCTTTCTTCCATGGTGCCTCTAAGTGGATTCGAACCACCAACCTTTTGGTTAGCAGCTGAGCATTTTCAACTATTGGTGCCACCCAGGGGCTTGTGGAGCCGCTGGGTGGCAGCTCATCCCAAATGCTTGCCAACACTTGGTTCATATTTTACTATTTGAGAGGGATTTAAATAGTTTGTAGAAAAATTCTTGCCATTCCACTTTGCCACAAACTTTCTGAAGTTCCCTTGTGTGATGCTGTACGCCCTCAAAAGGATTTCAACTCAAGGGATCCCATGTGACAATAGTAGAACTGCCCCCAGAGGGTTTCTTCGGTAGTAATCTTTACAGTGAGTCCTGGTGTCGTGCTGCGGGTTGATGCGCTGGACTGCAAGGTCTGTTTGAACAGCAAGGTCAGCGCTTCAAGCTCACCAGCTGCTCCTCAGAAACCCTATAAAGGTCGCTATGAGTCGGAATCAACTCAAAGGCACTTAACAATCTTTACAGAAACAAACGACCAGGTCTTTTTGCTGTAGAGCTGATGCGTAAGTTAAAACCGCCAACTTTTAAGCTGGCAGCCAGGTGGTTAACAATTGTACCACTAGGGTGCTCCTTATATTTTATTATTCAAATTTCAGTTCCAGCATGAGAATAGGAATAACAAGCTTAGAGACGGCCACGCTGGATACAATACCTATCTTTTCATCAGAAAGCCAGAAGATGAGTGAAAATGTAACCGGAAGAAATAAAGAGGGGCACTGCAAAACCGCACGCCCACCCCAGGTTCCCGACCGAGGCAGGGCTGCCGCACCACCCCGCGGCAGCGCGCGTCCTCTGGTCACTCGCCCCCCGCCAGGGCCCGCCCCTTGCGTCCAGCTAGTCCCCGGCTCATGCCCGAGAGGGGAGAGAGTGCTCTGTGTGCGCGGCACCTTCCTCCGCAGGCGTAGGGCCCGCGGCGGTGTTCTTACTCACAGCTTGGCTGGGTGCGCAGGCTGCTGCGGTCCTAACCCGCAGGCTCCGACGGCCGCACGGAGAGGTATCTTCCGCCGACACGGGAGCGCCAGCGCGGGCCTGGACTGGGCCCGGGAGCGCCGCCCGGAACAAGAAGCCAGAGACTGCGCGGCGCCCAAACGTCCACATGCTGGTGCTGCTTTGCGGCCTGCTCCGCCCTCCTTCTCCCCGTGCCCCCCCCACCCCCCCAAAGGCGTGGAAGCGCGACCCCTAGTGGCCATGGGCCGCAGGCGCACCAGCTCGGCTCGCGCGCTCAGGTCCATTCATCTGTAGACTGTGTGGAAACTGCCAGAGTAAAGCTCAAGAGCTTCCCAACATCGTACCATCAGTGCATTAAACTAGAAGTGAAGAACCTTCGTTGTGCAAAGCACGAAACTTACCCCTTAGGCTACATGGTAACTGCAGAAAAAAGTCCATGCTCTCAAGAGGTACATGTTGAGCTGCTGCTAACCACAAGGTCAGCAGTTGGTATCTATCAGCTGCTCCACAGGAAAAAAAAAGAGACTTTCTGTTCCCTTAAAGACTTACAGCCTTGGAAACCCCATGTCGGGTCACAATGAGTTCAGTATACTACCACCACTCCTCCCCCGAAAGGAGGCTTTAAAACCCATTGCCACTGAGTAGATTCCGACTCATGGGGATCCTACAGGACTGAGTGGAACAGATCCATAGGGTTTCTGAGACTGTAAATCTTTATAGGAGCAGACAGACTTATCTTTTCCTGAAAAGTGGCTGGTAGGTTTGAACCACTGACCTTGTGGTTAGCAGTTCAATGCTTACCAGCAATATGACTAAGTCTGTGTGGGATATAGGCCTTTAAACTGCTCTGCCACTGCTGTAGGTTACAGAGGATAAGAGTGTGTAACCAGACCCTTAAATACAGACTGTCAAATTCCCAGCGGTGTGACCAGTGGGCAAGTTAATTAGCCTCTTTCTCATCTGTAAAATGTGGTTAATAAAATTAGCTACTTCATAGAGCTGTTGAAAGGATTAAAGGAGCAGTCCTTATCTCCTTTTCAGCATCCTAGGCCTGGAATTTCTTGGAGATTTCCATGTATCTTGACATCTATCTTCCCTTGGGTCTAGGAGGTTCTTCTTGCAGGGGCCCCAGTCCAAAGCGCACACTGCACTCTCAGCTCTTCTTTCTTGGTGGCAATAGATCCCTGGCTCTGCTCACTTTTCTCTCCTATAAGACAAAAGCTAACACAGGCCACACCCAGAGGAAAATAACTTATTTCTGAGCCTCTGAGCTAATGTTTATGAGAGAAAAAGAAATCTCTGTTCATGTTGTGGTCACTCTACAGAGGTGGAATGGAATCTTTTCCCCTAACTTAAAATTTGGGTTGGATATAAACCGACTTGACAGCACTAAACAATGACACAACAACATCAAAACTGACCAGGCGACAGATGCACCAACCTGAACATTTTTATTGTTAACACAGGTTTCTTGAGGAGAGTAGGGTCAATTCCCAAACAAATCCAAGAATGGTTTGAGAGAGTGGGGGAAAGAGATTGGCTTTGAGGTTTTATGGTGGTTAGGTGGTAGGAGACTGGCTGAGGCTTGAGTAGTCAGGGCTTACATGATTTGAGCTTCCCGCCAGAACCAAATGAAAGGACACCAGGCTTCCTTATCAGCCTACCCAGATGTGGGGCAGAAGGAGAAGAGGGAAGGGCAGGACTTGGAAAAATGTCAGCACTCAAATATCAAAAATGGAATCAGACTCTTATTATAATTCAGTAGTTGGATTTTTGATCACTGACAAAAGCAGTCCTAACTGATTTATGCTATATAACCTAAACTATATACATCAGCCAAAGTAGGTTTTTAAAGAAATCTATATTATGCCACTGGTTGTGACTTTTTGGTAACATTTCTTTGAAGTGATGAATTCAAATAAAATTTTGAACTCCGTATCATAGGCTTGAATGATCTGATCCCTGTTGACCTCTTCTAACTCATCCACTACCCTCTCCTCATTGCTCATTCAACTTCTGCGACACTTCTCAGCCTTCAACTTGCATGTTCTTCTCTTCCTCAGGCTCTTGCGTCTGTTGTTTCTCTGCCTACAAGGCTCTTCCTCTAGCTCATCACCTGTGGGCTCTTGTCATCATCAGGCCTTTGTCTGCTTGTTCCTGCCTCAAAGAGCCCTGCCCTGACCACTGTAAGTATTAAAGGGACTTCTCCCTTTACTTTTTGTTTCCCTCTATCACTCTGCCTGTTGGTTTCCTTTACAGCATGGATCCCAATTGGTAATTATAGTCTCTGTTTGTTTGTTTTTTAACTTGTTAATGGGATTTAACCCACATTCAAATATAAGCTCCACATCTGTCCTTGTTCACCCTTGTATACCTAGTACTAAACATTATGCTGGGAGAATGTTTGTTCTCAATATCTGCTTGCCAAATGTGAATGGAAGAATAACCCTTAACTCTGTTACCAATAGGGCAATTTACTTTCCTTTTTAATAATTCTTATTTGTAGAACTGGAGTTGTGGTGAGGTGCTTTAGGATAAGCACTGGACCTCAAGGTTGGTTTGAGCTCAAGGTTGGCAGTTCTAACCCACTAGCTTCTCCTCAAGGAGCTCTGGTAGCATAGTGGTTGCAAATCGGGCTGCGAACCGCAAGGTCAGCAGTTCAAAACTACCAGCTGTTCCGCGGGAGAAAGATGAGGCTTTCTGCTCCCATAAAGATTTACAGCCTTGGAAACCCTGTACAGGTTCGCTATGAGTCGGAACCGACTGCACGGCACTTGACAACAACAAGAAGCTTCTCCTCGGTAATGTTATACAGGATCGCTGAGTCAGAGCCAACTCAAAGGCACTTAACAACAACAACAATTTGTAGAAAGGGTATACGCATGGTGTTCTCCATAGTATTGTAAGAATGAAGTGAGATAAATTCTTAGAACAGTTATCTGGCTTTGTTAGCTTCCTAATGCTGTTGTAACAGAAATATCACAAGTAGGTGGCTGTAAAGAACAGAAGAAATGTATTCTGGAAACTAAAAGTCCAGATCAGAGTTTTGGCCATCTTTGATTCCTTCCTTGTAGGTTGTTGTTAAGTGCTGAGTTAGTGTTAAGTGTTAAGTTGTTAAGTGTTGAGTCAGTCCGGACCCATAGCAACCCTATATAAGGTTTCCCAGAAGCAGTCCCAGGCATTTCTTGGTTCCTTGGTTAATGATCCTTACATGGTGTCTGTCTTCCTGAACATGTGTATTTGTGTCTTATCTGCTCTAATTAACATACTAAAGAAAACGCTATTTCTAAACAGAATTATATGCATATTATAGGATTTAGGATTTCAGCACTTATTTTGCTGGGACACTCACTATTCGATCCACAATACTGGCACATAGTAAGATCTCAACAATAACTATTTCCCCATTCTTGAGTTCTAGGCTCAACTCTGACTTTAGGCTTGAGTAACCTTGAGCTAATCACTAAACCTTTTGGGTTCTCAGGGTTTATTTAACCACCATACTGCGCTTCTATAATGTCAGTAGTTCAAATCCACCAGTTACTCCTCAGAAACCTATGAGTCAGAACCGACTCCACAGCCCATAACCAACACCATCTTTATGGGAACAGAAAGCCTCATCTTTCTCCCACAGAATGGCTGGTGGATTCGCACTGTTGACCGTGGTTAGCATCCCAACGCATAATCCACTACTCTACCAGAGCTCCTTAGAGTTTATTTAATCAGCAGGCATTTATTAAGAGTCTAGCGCTATGGGTTAATGCACCAGACTGCAAAGCCATTTGAACTGCAAGGTAGGCAGTTCAAACTCACCAGCTGCTCCTCAGAAAACCTATACAGGGTCGCTATGGGTTGGAACCAACTCCAAAGCACTGAACAACAACAGTATATCAGCCCTCATTCTAGTGCTTGGGATACCGTGATGAGCAAAACAAACACAAATCCTCACTCTCAAAGAAGTTAGATTCTAACTCTAAGGGCTTTGGTGCTTTCACTCAAATTCTTATAATTTAGGCACTGGAATTATCTGGGTGAATTTTGATGAGTGGAGGGAATGAGGAATGGCCTAGCTTGATGCTTAGGTCTGGTCATCAGCTGAATTTTGTCTTACTCCAGCAGGTTTGTACAGGCATCTAGCAGACCTCCTCTCCACTGTGCTTGCTTGTAGGGGTGTTTGCCTGAGATGACAAAGTGCCTGGTGTTGTCACTACAGTCCTTCACTCTGACAGCACATTAGAATCAGGGAACTAGATGACTGCCAGAGTGCCTTCTGCCCAGAGGGTTTTGAGAAGGGTTAAGAGAAGAGAGCAGCATGGGCAGTAACAGTACCCAAGGGGCCCCAGCTGACTCTGGATCACATTTCTTACTATTTCCCACAGCAAACCATCATGTATGCTTCTTGCCAGAAACTAGCAACCATTTCCTTGTAGGACTGTGTTCTTATTTGAAAGTGTCATGTGCATATGCTTATGTGTGTGGCAAGTCTGACACAATCCTATGAAACCTGGAACTGATTTATAGATGGAAGCCAAGAGTTAAGTGTGAATCTAGAACCCAAGAAACCTGATTTCTGTTCAGTGCACTTACTCTACATTCTTAGGTAAGGACAATTTAATACCCTGGAGTTCATTGATACTGTAGAGTTAATTAATACTATAGAATTACAGTATTATAATTATACGCACAGCAGAACGAAAGATTGCTATGAGTCGGTACAGACTCGATGGCCCCTAACAACAACAACAACATAGAATTACATCAGAGAGTTTTGGTGGCACTGTAGGATAAGCACTGGACTTTTAACCACAAGGTTGGCAGTTCAAACCCACTAGCAACTCCTCAGAAACCCTATACTTGACAGCACTTAACAACACCAATATAGAATTATATCAGTTCCCAGGGGCTACTATATCAGTTATATCAACTTCAGTAGATCAGTCCCATGAAAGGGCTCTGATTGGCTCTTCTGGGATCATGCGCCTACTCCTTGGAGCAATCGCTGTTGCTAAGGGGATGAGAATACATGATTGGTCAGGCTGAAGTTGAAGGAGGCAGGGTATATTACTAGATGAAGGAAAATGAAAAAACTTGCTTGATTGTCCTAAAAGGAGAGCTACCCATAAAACCTTAAATCTTTAAGTTCTCACTCATTCTTGGCTGGCCTTGGGCTTCAGCTTAGTGCAGGGTAACTGTAATCTTGACTCAGAGCCTGAAGACCTAACTTCCTACCAGAAAGTGACTTTGGTTTGCATTAAAAGCTGTTGTTAGGTGCCACCTT